GGAGCTCAGCGCTGCCTCGTGTCAACAATGCACGAGAGCGAATGAGTCCAGGGCCGTAGCTAGTCCTGTCGATGCCCGGGGCAAAGGTATGCTCAGATGCATGGAAAATGAGTGGGAACGGAACGTTGGTGAGCAACATGCCATACAGTTCATTCCTCTGAGCAGCGTTGCTTTCACAAATTGGAAGAAAGTGTTGTTGGTACTCTGGAAGCCTTGATTTCAGTCTTTCAGTGATGACACGGAGAAAAACACCGCTTAATCATCCTGAATGTTGTTGAGCAGCGATTGACCCAATTCGCCGAACAAATAAATAATTTAAACAAATTCAGAAGATAACCAACTCAGTGAGGCACTTGATAGTGAAAGAAGCCTACAACCAGCTAGTTGCCTTATTCCTATGGACATGTTTTTTTTTTTTTATATAAATGGACAGGCATGCTTTTGACCCTCATGTGTCAACCACACTGCAACCCGTAGGTCGAATTTATCATAAAAGTTCCAGGACTACCGTCACCCAAGATATACAGGTATTTGAGATCCAAACCACAGTTTCCCCCTGGGAAATAACACACACACACACGCGCTTTCATGCACTCCTGGCGGGATTCTCCTGGGATCATCTAGAGTTCTATTGTCACAGCTATTTTGTCATCCACGACTGTTCTTCAAAACGAGCCCCTGGAAGACACCCTGGAATTCGGTGTAGAGGAAAAAGTGAGCCAAGTCGTGTGTGTGGGTTGGTTGCCCCGACGTGGCGATGTTGTGTTGGATGCTCAGGGCTTTGGTGTCTTGCCACCACAACGCCATTGATTCTTTTTTTTGATCATTGGGTCAAAAGGGAAAACCTGTAGTTCAGGTCCAAAAGCTTTTTTGGCACCAGCCTGGGAAGCTTTCTGACACAAATTTATATTGTAGCATTTTTTTAATTCGCCAGTTGTGTGTTTGAAACCAAATATCGTCCGCTCGGAGCACAAAGTATCGTAAGTCTATTACGTTTTTCTTGAAACTATTGCAAGTCTTCATCCCAAAAAGGAAATGTGGGTTTTTGTTTTAGATACAGGACGTTTTTATATGTCAGACAGTGAGAGTTTTGAGATTGGCATGCTGACATTGTACCATGATAGAGTGATTCAAGAAAACAAACGGCTGCAAACTACTGTGTTGCCACCAATGATGAAGTAGTAGCGATAGTAGTCGTCGGGTGGGAGGTTGCTGCAGTCCCGGGACCTGACTTGAGAATCAGATCAGTAATTTGAGTCTCAGATGCAGACAAAGGTAATGACTTTCCTCTTTCCCGGAGCATTGATTCAGATGCGCTTGTTCGCGTGTGTGTGTTGTGTGTTGTGTGTTGCACTGTCTGGTGGCGGCTGTTAGTCTTGATCAACTCTGTCTGGTATTTGTAGTGATCAAATTTCAGCCAGTACATTTGGGTAATGGTGCTGCTGTGCTCGTCGCACGCGCGCGCTCTGTGTTTTCTGTGCTTTTGTGGGTCTCGCTTTTGACGCAACACCTGAATGCAGTCGCGCCAATATACGTACAATGGAGTCAACAGGGTGCATTGTGTATTGTTGAGATGAAGGCAACCGCGCTGTGGCTTGCTCTCTGGTCCAAGTTGTGGCAAAACTAGTTTGGGCAACCAAGTTTTCTTAATCCCTTCCTCACTACATTTTGTCATTTCCTGCCTCAGCATGCACGGAATGATCGGAACTTGCCAAACACACGGCCCGATGTGTTCTCCCCTTTGTAACTTCACTGTTCCCTTGTTCCTGTTGCTTGGCCCCACCCTCCGGTAAGTCAAAGTCTAGACTGGGTTTTAATGACACTCACAGCTGGTCCCTTGGGCGGACCCCGATCGCAGCTGGAGGCCCTGTAAGTCTGGCTCATTACTCCCGCCCCCGTTTTTTTATTGTCCAGCCCAGCCCCCCCGTCTGGCGCTCAAATGTTGGGGTTGTTGCCGTTCACTGTGGCAAGCGAACCCACGGCGCCCATCCCCCCCGCCTGCCCGGCAGCTCTTTGTTCATGCAGGGCCGCTTCGATCCAATCCCTCCTCATGTCGTCTTAATCTGCACACAAAGCACCAGTGTAAAGACCAACAGCAATGCGCATACAAGAGCAGAGTTCACCCAAAAATGCCGGTCGCGCACATCAGGCCTCGACTTGGCTCTGTCATGTGGAGCGGCTTGAAATCTGCTCTGTAGCCGTGGTGTTGGTGCTGAGTCATTTTGGGTTCGTGGGTTCTCTCTTAGCACCAATGTCTGTATTTGCTCCACGCTGGTCCATGCCTCGAGTGCAGTCTTCTACAAAACAAACCATCAGCGAAGGACTTGAGGCAATAATGTTGGCTTTCCGCCATGTTTGCGCCTCTTGGCGCGTGCCACCTCAACCCCCTTCACGCAGAGGTACTACAAATGGCAAAGGGACACCATTTGATGGCTTTCTAGTCGTCATCCTGTATAAAACCATACCTCAATGCTGAACTGTCATCTGGCCTTTTCCCTCAACGTGATTTGTTCAAATTTGCTTCACCTTGGGCCGGAAATTCCTTTTGCGTGTCTCTTCCCGGTCGCCCTCTGTATTGCAAAGTGCAGTCGAAATATTCCTGCTCCTCCTTTCCAGTAAACAGTCACGTAGTGTTTAAAAACAAGAACAACAATCCTCTCCCCACGCAGGATCAGGCCGCGGTTAGGATTCAACCGCTTTTGTGACGTTGCAGTTAGTTGTGCAAAAAGCGGCATCCTGCGTACTGATTGATGCAACCGCAATTTGGTATATGTCGCAAGGTAGTCCCGCCGTGGGTGGAAAACTGTTGTGAAAAATCTGCTCAGCCACACTTGAAATTGTGAGAGCATCTCTGGTCAAAGAGACCCCTCCGGATAAGACAGAAGATTAGTTGGAAACTCGCCACGCTTAAATCTTTTCTCTCTCTGTGCCAGACATTGTTAGAGCTTGAACTGACTGTCACGCTTCTCTGGAAAAGAATAAAGATAAGAATTCCTCTCATCTTGGCTTATTATTGCTTTGTGGTCCACAGTCGAAGTCTTGAGGGGTCCACTCTTCATTTCAATGGGGCTTTCGGTCTGTGACATGTTACTGCGAGACTACACAGTTATTGCAAGGATTTTGATTGAGGTCCCCTCGGGAACAAGTCCCCACGCCCACTCGGGTCCTGATATGCTCCAAAACTTCGGTTGAAGCCTGGGGGGGTGGGGGGGGGCGGACTGGCCGGAGCGAAATGAAAACATGTGCGCTTGGACTCCAAGTCCCATTTGGCTCCAAAATGAATCGGTTTCTTGAGTTCCGGCTACTTGGCCACCACGACGACTGGTTGGCTCACAACCAGTCATTTGTGCCCGGCACGGATCCACTTGTGACTCAAATGGCCAGCTATAAACTGCGTTGTAAGAAAGGTGCAGTGTATTGTAAAAGCTTTGAGGAAATGAAATGGGGTTGGACACATTTACATCTTTTTTTTTTTTTTTTTAAATCTCATAATGATTACGTATCGAAACCATGGTGTACCTCTGCGTCAGTGAGGTCTAAAGAAGGGCAAGGAATGAAGCCTAAAGCCACAATGGGGATTTGGCTGAAGCCTCCTGTCCTTGTTTAGTGTCAGTTTGTCTCCCCTGCAGGCAGGACGGGCTCCACACAGCCTCTTTGGGTCCATCCGCCGTGAAGGCTCTGATTTCATGGCCGTCTGGGTGCCGCTACTTAGGTCCTGCTCTGTGTCTGACATCACCAAAAGTGTGTCCAGCCTGAATTGAACTCTTTCCATCTGCGTGTTACTGTGGGTTCAGCGTTTCCCCTGCTGCGCAATTATCAGATGCGAGCCACCTGGCAAAACTCGGACTGCATGCATACACGCAAAACAGCATTTTAATCGTGGCTTGCGACATCAGTCCCTGTGAATAACTTGGCTCCCAATTGCCAGCGCCAATCACTATTCATTCCAAACCAAACTCTTTTGGGACTTCCCCCACAAACTTAATGCAAAGTCATGGTTTAAAAACAAACAATGATACCGCCGAAGATCATGTCACTGATCAACTGTCATCCTCGAGAGCCCCTATCTGGCCTGTTTTAGGTGTTGTTTTTGCCTGCGCTGACACACCTGATTTGAATGCCGGATTTTTAACAGGCTTGTGCTGATCGCTTGAATCAGGTGTGTTGGAGCAGGGAAACATCTCAAACTGGCCTCCAAGATCAAACTTGGAGACCCCTGACCGAGGCACTACCTCGAGGTTGTTAAAAAAAAAAAATCATCGTAGAAAAGAGATTCACTGATTTCGAGGGTGTTTCACTGTGTTTCACCTACTGCCACTAAAAGTCCAACATTTAAAAGCAGTTAAAAACAGAGTTGGAGATTTAAAAGCAAAGTCAAGAATTTTTGGGTGGGGCGGGAGATTTCGAAAATGTTTTGAAGAACCTTAACTGATAGTTATGGGAAAAGAACATCATTTCTTATCTAGATTGAAAAGCATTTACGCTTTTGATTGGTGTGTTTTGAATCTTTACTCCTTTGTATGATTCACTCTGACAAGAGATTCCAGCAAAACGAGGGACTGTATTATATACACTAGGACAGTGGAAAAAACATTTCGGGGAGGGGGCAGGGGTGGGGCTTCTGTTATTGAGAACATAGCTGCAGCAAGTAAGAGCTTTTGGGAGGTTTTACAAACGTAAACATTGAATGGAAGGGGGCCAGCAAGACCAAGAGAGCTCTTTTTGGTTCTCTCTCGTGCTCCTCACCGCCCCACCTGTACCAGGAGCCAGCCCGCAGAGCTTGAGCTGTGAGCCTTGCCACAGATATCGTTAGATATCGTTCCATCCTTGCTCCTTTGATGGAGTGCACGATGCTGTCCAGTCGGAGACATCCCATAACAGATAATACTTGTGTTTGCAGTCTACATCTGAGCAAAATGTGCAAATATGGGCTGTTGATTGCACGCGGCGACATTTCTCTGCATTCCACGGTAACGCCTCGACTGCCTGACCTCCTCCAGCTCTTCGTTGCAACTGCACGACCTGCGAGAAGACGGGCTATGAGTGTGAGACGGACGGCGCCTGCATGGCCTCCACGTACACCATCCAGGGGAAGGAGCAGCACGTACGCATCTGCATCAACAGGGACAACCTGGTTCCGCCCGGGCAACCCTTCTACTGCCTGAGCGCCGAGGGTCTGCTCAACACTCACTGCTGCTATGTGGACTACTGCAACAGCATTGACCTGAAAGTCCCCGGTAAGGCTCTGTCGCGTCGGCACGGCGACCCGTTCCCACCGCGAGACCGACACGCAAGTATCGACCTCTCTGCTCGATCCCCTCTGTGCTCTCAGTGCCCACCAAGGAGGACATTTCGGGCTCGGCCGGCTCCTGGGGTCCCGTGGAGCTGGTGGCGGTCATCGCGGGGCCCGTCTTTCTGCTCTGTGTGCTGCTCATGGTGGGCGTTTTCCTGTTCCAGTATCACCAGAGGGCCTACAGTCACAGGCAGAGGTTGGAAGTGGAGGACCCGTCATGTGACCATCTGTACTTGGCCAAGGACAAGACCCTGCAGGACCTCATCTATGACATGTCTACCTCCGGATCAGGCTCTGGTAATCGCATGCATGCTGACAATCGTAGCGCTGATTTGAGTTCTACTCATCTTTTAACCCTCCTGTTATTTGAGCTCATCCTCTGTTGAATCACCCCAAAATATCAGATAACACAGTGAAATGCAATTAAAATAAGAAAAGTGAAAAGCAGACCTTGTTTTTTTGAGTTCCAGATTTTTCAAATGGGTCAGCTTGACCCCGTAACAAAAGAGCAAGGTTAACTTTGAATGCAGCCTCTGAGTTTGCCCGGCAACAAGATTCCAGCAAATCGGCGTAACGCATCCTGTCGAAGGTCAGCCCTTTGAAATAAAACCATGGCGGTACAACAACGCAGAATCACTCCGCTTTCTTTGGCTCTTGCATTTTGAAGCCCAGACTTTTTGGGAGTGAAAGCCCGCATTGCGAAATGTTAAAAACATTTTTACACAACACCATACGAGAAACGTGTGGGCCGCAACTGACCAGAAGCATTTGCGTCCATTTCAATGACGAAAGATCACTGAGAGACGAGTGATTTGATTTCGGAGCGCGGTCACGGAACGCATTCGAATTAGCCTCTCGTAGTTTTCCCAAGTATGTTCATCCAAGTGTTTTCTTTGATCTACCGCCTGCAAATGACATCTTACCGTTCTACTTGCTTCAGTTATCCAATAATCTCCAAGCAGTAATAAGAGCATCCACATGCAGAGTCTTTCTTCTTTGGCTCCGCAGTAAAATAATTTTCACTGCTCGCTGAACACGATCCAACAAATGCCTTTCCAGATGTCGTGTTTTGCAGAAAAGTGGATTTGTCAGCCTATAAACTGCATCTGAATTCGCCCAAATAAATCGTCTTTACGGTGCAGGTCTGCCTCCAAAGCGCTGCATGTTTCTGATGCAAATCATGAAATACATAAATAAACATCTCGCCCCACTTTGGTGTTGGGGATCAATCACTGTTTTACCTCAAGTTCAATTTCAGCTAATGCGCTTTTGAGTGGCTACTTGCAGTTTTTTTTATCCCCAAAGATGTGCCGATTTGAACTGTAGGTCGCGATGACCTCCCGCAACTTTTTGGAGCTGCGGCTCAGTGAAGTCTTATCGCACCATTTTATAAACACTTGAGAAAGATTTGTGGGATTTTTACAAGACTGGAAAAATTGCATGGCAGCAATTATTTTATCTGCGGTCCAGTGGAGAGTCGTGAAAATACCTTGCGGTTGCGAGCGTAATCCGCTCGGAATGTGTGCAAACATGTCGATGATGGGAACACGCACTCCCGTGCCCATGAGGTCAGGCTGCACGCTTTGAAACACGTTTGCCTTTCTTTTGCTGTTGGCGCTTCCTCACAGTCACCAACCAGCTCAAGACCGTTTTCTCTTGTTGTTTACTGCCCCCTGCAGGCCTGCCCCTGTTTGTGCAGCGGACCGTGGCCAGGACCATCGTACTGCAGGAAATCATCGGGAAGGGCCGCTTCGGCGAGGTCTGGCGAGGGAAGTGGCGCGGCGGGGACGTGGCGGTGAAAATCTTCTCATCCAGGGAGGAGCGCTCCTGGTTTAGAGAAGCCGAGATCTACCAGACAATCATGTTGCGCCATGAAAACATCCTGGGCTTCATCGCGGCAGACAATAAAGGTGAGGCAAGGAGAAGAAAAGGACGACGGATGCTGACGGCCGCGTGTCGAAATAGGCCGGGGGTTTCCCACTTGCGGATCCTGGAAATGCGTCACTCAGAATTGTGTTTCCCCACAGACGTCTGTTTGCTCCGAATGCAATTTTAGTCTCGATGAAAAACACAAATTCGATCAAATGTCCTTTTTATCTCTTCGCCAAAGCAATTGCATGCGTGTTCTCCTCCAGACAACGGCACGTGGACGCAGCTGTGGCTGGTGTCCGACTATCACGAGCACGGCTCCCTTTTCGACTACCTAAATCGCTACTCCGTCACCATCGAGGGCATGATCAAGCTGGCGCTGTCGGCCGCCAGCGGTTTGGCACATCTGCACATGGAGATCCTCGGCACTCAGGGTGAGGGGAGCTCGCTCGTGCGCCTTCGCGTCACTGAATTCACCCCGTCCCAATTAATTCCACGCGCCTCCCCCGTAGGTAAGCCCGGCATCGCGCACCGTGACCTCAAGTCCAAGAACATCCTGGTGAAAAAAAACGGCATGTGCGCCATCGCCGACTTGGGCCTGGCCGTCCGCCACGAATCCATTACGGACACCATTGATATCGCCCCCAACCAGCGCGTGGGCACCAAAAGGTGAGTGAGCCGCATCCGTGCAGCCTCCGCGTTTGCTTGCATTTTTGTAGTCCTAGTGGGTTGTTTGCATTGTGAGTTTCTTTTCCATCGTGTCAGTACGAGTTAGGGCTGCGGCTGACAATTGTTTTCAGCATTCCAGGAATCTGGATTATTTCATACAATACATCTTTATTGGATCTCGTGCTTTCACAACAGCTGCAGCTGTAACAAAGCGCTTTAAAAAACAGCTCACATAAAATAACAATATAACGCAACATCAAACACGGACATTCATGCAATCTTAGCCACTTTTCCCCTCATACGCTTTGTTGTTTGAAGCAGTTCTCGATGAAAGAGGAGAGGATCAAAGTGTCCTTTCACCAGTGGATCACAGACGTCCTGCTCGAAATGTGCGCACGTCTGCTACGAGCCAAGTTTGAAAGTAAACAAGAAGCTGTAGCGTCCATTGACAAAAAACGAGATTGGTTCACTTCTCCCGTCCCATGTAAATCCGCTTCAGTTCCAAGCGCCGACTCCCAGTTCCAGATGTGCATCCGCTCCTCTCTTCTCATCCTCGGCTCCCACGAGCCATCCATTCAACTGCACTAGCACAGACTGTCCAACCGCGCCGCCATCTCCGCTGAACAAAATACCGGCGCAAAAAACACACAAGCGCCGGCAGGTGGTCAAGCGGCGACCGTCAAATAGCGCCGACATTCCTTCCGATGAAAATCAGCGCTGGTACACGCGTGCTGCCGAAAAGGCGCAACCACCAAGCACAGATTCTACTTTGACGAACGTCGTGGCCAAAAAAACGCTGAAAACAATCCACATTGGGTCCACATGACGTAACAACAAACACCATGTGATAAAGCAAAAGGGGGGGAAAAAAGCAAAGCTCTTGAAGAGCACTTACCAACAGCGAATCAGATTTCTGAAAAGCCCGTTTTAATTTCCATCCCTTGATTCTACAACAGGACATTATGTCAAATCGACGGTGCAGAAAATGCACAAACATATATGAGTCATCAATCCGTTCCTGCTTTTGTCCGTGACGTGTCAGAAAAATGGCAAAAATGTTGATTATTCTTAATTCCAAAGTAAAAGCGAAGAGTATCAGTACGATTTCATGGAGCACAACACAAATCAGAGAAGATCGACTTATGACAGGCTTTGGACAATTGAAAATAAAACGAGGCCTTTAAATGATGAGTCGATTTATCAAAAATATTTATCGTTTCATTTGATCATCGATCAGCTGTCAATCTGTGCACCTCTTCAGTGAATAAACGGCCTCCATATCTCTGGCAAGGTTGAGTGTGATTGACCAAATGATTGCTTAGCGCTTGGCTCCACTCGTCATATGAAAAGCAATGTGAAAATGATTCCGCTCAAGCTTTTTTTCAAAGTATGTGGCTCGGGAGGGATGAGTCGCTAAAAAGAGCGGCAACACGGTCTCTGCTTTTAGAAACGAGCTCTCTCTCTCTCTCTCTCTCTCTCTCTCTCTCTCTCTCTCTCTCTCTCTCTCTCTCTCGGGGATGCGCTTTAGACTACGGAAGCTCAACCAATTTGATTCATTCATTCATTCATTCATCTTCCGAACCGCTTGATCCTCACTAGGGTCGCGGGGGGTGCTGGAGCCTATCCCAGCTGTCTTCGGGCAGTAGGCGGGGGCCAGCCAATCGCAGGGCACACAGAGACGAACAACCAACCACGCTCACATTCACACCTAGGGACAACTTAGAGTGTTCAATCAGCCTACCATGCATGTTTTTGGAATGTGGGAGGAAACCGGAGTACCCGGAGAAAACCCACGCAGGCCCGGGGAGAACATGCAAACTCCACACAGGGAGGCCGGAGCTGGAATTGAACCCGGTACCTCTGCACTGTGAAGTCGACGTGCTAACCACTGGACTACCGGGCCACCCCAATTTGATTCAAATCGATCATAAATTGTCCCGACAAACTTGAATCGATGAATAAAGTAGGCTCATGGTCTGGCTGTCAAATTTTTGTTCTGCAACCTGACGTCATGCTGTGCAACCTCCCAGGTACATGGCTCCAGAAGTTTTGGACGAGAGCATCAACATGAAGCACTTTGACTCCTTCAAGTGCGCCGACATCTACGCTCTGGGCCTGGTCTACTGGGAGATCGCGCGCCGCTGCAATGCTGGAGGTGAGACGCGCACGAAAACGCACACACACACACACACATCCCACTGCGCCGCAGAGCCTCCGGGACGCACCCGACCGCTTCCATTGCGCTTATGTGGCAGGTATCCATGAGGAGTACCAGCTGCCCTACTATGACCTGGTGCCCTCTGACCCCTCCATAGAGGAGATGAGGAAGGTGGTGTGTGACCAGAAGCTGCGGCCCAACGTGCCCAACTGGTGGCAGAGCTACGAGGTAACCAATTGACTTAGTTGTAGGGATTTTTTTTTTTTTCAGGAGAGTATTGAATAACTCCACATATCTGAACAGCTTTCTATCAAGCTACCATATATACCAAGAAGGAAGCGTGATGAAATGACCGAATTACGTCACAGTACTTCCCATCCTCCATTGTACTAGCTGGGGATGTCAAATGGGAAATACTCATCGAGTTTTTATACTGCCCCGAATATCCTTCCATCCATCCATTTTCTGATCCAATGACCCTCACGAGGGTCGCGGACGTGCTAGAGCCTTTCCCAGCTGTCTTCGGGCAGGAGGCGGGGGACACCCTGAACTGTCAAACTAAACATCAAACAAAGAGAATATTTACAGAAGAATATTGAAAAACAATCGCGGAGCTCAGCATGTTGTCCGCTAGCTTAATGCTAATGCTAACACATCATGTGTCCCCTGTGTGCACGCTGTGAAGTCACTGCGCGTGATGGGCAAGATCATGCGTGAGTGCTGGTACGCCAACGGTGCGGCGCGTCTGACGGCGCTGCGCATCAAGAAGACCCTGTCGCAGCTCAGCGTGGAGGAGGACATCAAGATGTGAAAGAAGCCCTGCCAGTTTTCAAGCCAAGGCCTACCTCACCTTTTTAGCCAAAACTACTGAGACCCACCGACCCTGTCCCATGTCCTTGTGTCTCCCCGCCCCCGAAGCCCCCAAACCCTTTCCCGTCGTCATGGGCCGCAGCACTACCACTGTTAATATCATCTCACTGTTATTTTCATCTTCCAGATGGCAGGAACTACTATTGTACAGTTTTCATGAATTTAGCTTTGTTTTTGTTTTTTTAATTCACTCCAAAATCGTCCCAACCATGTACGGCTGTGAATGTTTGAGTAAGGTGGAGGCCATGTTTGTAGTCCCATGTGGAAGGACTAATAAACACACATCCTCTCGCCGTGACCATCACTAACTGGAGATTTAAAAAAAAAAAATAGAAAAACATCATCATGTGTAGCCTCCTCTGTGCAACCTGCAGGCAATCACTGGACTGGCAGGGAAAAATGTTTTTAATTTATTTGTGACTCTTGACTTGATGTGGATAAACACTGTGAGACATCCTGCACCGAGTGCCGTAGTCCAAACGGCTTGATGACATCGGGCTGAGAGGCGTATCAAATGTTTTGATTTCTTTTCTTTAATATCTCGATATATTGTGTGTTTCTGCCATGAATTGTGTTTTCTTTTGTGACTTTTGACACTACTGATGATGGGTACCTTTTTTTTTTTCTTTTTAAACTAAACAACACTCCCTGTCCGTAAGCACCAATGTGAACAGTGATGGTACTTTAACTTTTTTTTTTTTTTTTTTTTTTTTTTAAAAGAACCCAAATGAGACACCTGGCT